AGCTTCCTGTTACTACTAGTAAGGCACTTGTTACTAGAAGCGATGCAGTTGTTCCTAGTCGCGATGCACTTGTTGCTAGTAGCTTATTGTTTCTATTCTAATAAACTCAATTTCTATTTGAATTCTTGTTTCTACTAGCTTCTTGTTACTACTAATAAGGCACTTGTTACTAGAAGCGATGCACTTGTTCCTAGTAGCTTATTGTTTCTAATGGCTTCTTGTTACTACTAGTAAGGCACTTGTTACTAGAAGCGATGCACTTGTTCCTAGTAGCCTATTGTTTCAAATGGCTTCTTGTTACTACTAGTAAGGCACTTGTTACTAGAAGCGATGCACATGTTCCTAGTAGCTTATTGTTTCTAGTAGCTTCTTGCTACTACTAGTAAGGCACTTGTTACTGGAAGCGATGCACTTGTTCCTAGTAGCTTATTGCTTCAAATAGCTTCTTGTTACTACTAGTAAGGCACTTGTTACTAGAAGCGATGCACTTGTTCCTAGTAGCTGATTGTTTCTAATAGCTTCCTGTTACTACTCGTAAGGCACTTGCTACTAGAAGCGATGCAGTTGTTCCTAGTCGCGATGCACTTGTTCCTAGTAGCTTATTGTTTCTATTCTACTAAACTTAATTTCTAATTGAATTCTTGTTTCTACTAGCTTCTTGTTACTACTAATAAGGCACTTGTTACTAGAAGCGATGCACTTGTTCCTAGTAGCTTATTGTTTCCAATAGCTTCTTGTTGCTACTAGTAAGGCACTTGTTACTAGCAGCTTATTGTTTCTAATAGCTTCCTGTTACTACTAGTAAGGCACTTGTTACTAGAAGCGATGCACTTGTTCCTAGTCGCGATGCACTTGTTCCTAGTAGCTTATTGTTTATATTCTAATTAACTTTATTTCTATTTGAATTCTTGTTTCTACTAGCTTCTTATTACTACTAATCAGGCACTTGTTACTAGAAGCGATCTCTTGTTCCTAGTAGCTTATTGTTTCCAGTGGCTTCTTGTTACTACTAGTAAGGCACTTGTTACTAGAAGCTATGCACTTGTTCCTAGTAGCTTATTGTTTCTAATAGCTTCTTGTTGCTACTAGTAAGGCACTTGTTACTAGAAGCGAGGCACTTGTTACTAGTAGCTTATTGTTTCTAATAGCTTCTTGTTACTACTAGTAAGGCACTTGTTACTAGAAGCGATGCACTTGTTCCTAGTAGCTTATTGTTTCTAATTATTGTTGGAGTGATGTGGAGATTTCAGGTGGATATACGGGTGGAGGAAGGAGCGGTTTGCTTACCAGAATTCTGACCACGTGTTCCTTGACTCGTTGTCGTGTTGGGAGGTCCAGGCACTCAAAACGTCAACCAATATCACTGGTCCTTGGCGGATCTCCATCAAGGCGCTAGTAGGTTGGAGGCCATCGCTACTAGGGTGGAGGCCATTACAACTAGTAGCAAGAAGCTACTAGGAACAAAGGGCATCGCTACTCGGAGCAAGAAGCTACTAGTAGCTCCTGGCCTTACTACTAGGGCCTGGCACCGCTACTAGTAACAAGAAGCTACTAGGCCGTTGGACGGTCGGAACTCCGCGCCTGACCCTCGTGCTCCGGGAGATCTTTGACCGCTGCCTGGCCGTTCCATGGTGTCCTCGTTTGTGGTTTTGAGCTACTTCTGTTTGTTGTAGTGCGGCCAGGAGCCCCTAGTCTGTTTCAGGTACGCTCGTGTTGTTCAAACTCACATGGTCACGAACCAACATGGTTCGAAAGCTTCCTGCGAGCGGGTGGGATTGCCCTGGACCGTGTGAGAAAACACGTGCTGGTTCAGGACCAAGACTGGGTTGGGCGATTGGACACATCATGTCGTACCCATGTTGGAGAAGATTCATTTTCCTTCCAAGGGCCTCTAACGTTCTCTTAATAAGGGCATGTTGACCCTGTCAAGGGGCTATGCACGCAACACCATGGTTCCTCACTGAGGTCGAGCTTGAGGCAATTGACAGCAACAAAAGGTTGATCGTAGAAAGGTAGATGGGCTTTGCCAACAACACATCAGCGATCTGGGATGATCTGGGTGGTGCAAAAGCTGATCATCGGGCGGATCCTCTGTGGCAAGTCTATCGCTTCTTCACAGGAGTTAGCCTGTTGTTCGAGAGGTTCCTACCTGCACTCTGCCCAGCAGAATCTCTTGCTTGGACATGTAGCTAAACATGCAACTCATGGACAGACCGGACCAAACCAAACTCACGAGCTACCAAACCCATAAACACTAACATATGAACCATATATGAACACCTTTCACAACAGTTTCACAAACCTCACCAGACCCAGTCTTCACATCGCCTGCACGCCACGGCGAAGCCAGTTGGCGTCAATGGGCTCCTCCTTCTCCGGTGCCTCTGCGAGGTTCTCCGCTTTGAATTTCATCTCTTCGCCTGGGCGACGGCACCGCTTTTGGACCTAAAGGCCCAGTGCCACCAAAACGGCACGCCACAAAACGACGGACAAAAGGAGGGCGTGCTGCGGCATGCAAGTTCGAAAAAACGTGTGTGTTTCACCTCTTTGACCTGTTTACTTGGAGCTACTAGGAACAAGTGCATCGCTTCTAGTAACAAGTGCCTTACTAGTAGTAACAAGAAGCTAGTAGAAACATTGTTACTACTAGTAAGGCACTTGTTACTAGAAGCGATGCACTTGTTCCTAGCTTTTAGGAAAAAAACGTGTGTGTTCACCTCTTTGACCTCTTCGTAAAGAAGTCCGAGCGATCCATGAAAGCATCGCCCCGTGTGCACCCAAGGTGCCGAAGGGTTGCACCTTGCATCTCCAGCGGCCCGTGCTCTCCCGTGCCTGTGAGAGGGTGGGTGGTTGTTCTTATGGATGCTTCGGATATTCTTTTTTGGTCCGGTTTCCTCTACCCCCCAAAATGCCGATCTTGACGTCTGTGTCGGTTCTGACTGGTGACTGATTGGTTCGACCGGAAAAGCTTTGACATGCTTTGAACATCCGATTTTTGGATGGTTGGGGCCATGGGGCCATGATCTGGTGCTTTTCTATGCGCTTCTTCATGTACACCGCTAGCGCACATGCTTGCACCGATGTCCTGACCCGCCGCATGGTGTTCGCAGCATGGTGAAAACCACATGGCGCGCAGCATGGTGTGGAAGCATCGAAGCTCGTCACCCTGGCCATGCATCTGATTGCACTGACCTCTTGGTGCTTGTCCTTCCACACGCGCGGAGGCCACGCCTGGATGGTCACCTGTCAACGGGGTTTCTCACGGGGGGTCTGGGACCTCCCAACTTCCCAAGTCTGCTTCGAAGATAGTGACCTCACCAACTACGTCGAACACCCAAACGTGTGAAGCTGCGAAAACGGCTCGACGACGCCTAATCTTGGCCAAGGTGCCAACGTCCGATACATGAACCTGTGCTTTTCTTGGTCTTGACTGCACATGCGACCTAATGCCAGTAGCACCTTGAAATCAGCAACCGTGGGGGCAGGTTGCAGGCCATCTGATGCCCACGATTTACACGCCTGGATGGCCAAAGTTGAATGTAGCAACATGATGAGGATCCTTGACGCATGACAGGGGGTTGAGTCTTCGATCTTCGAAAGGAAGAACCGCATTTAGCAGACCAAAATGCCGATGAATTACACCCATCAGGGTCCCATCATCGTGCCTCCTGCCCGTTGAGCTCAGGCCTGGCGTGTGCATCCCAAAACTACGTCAGGGACGGTAGATGCTGGGTATCGCAACTTTGACCCAACCAAACTATAGGGCCGCTAGCCGGGGCCTAAAGGGAAAGAAATACATTTTGTCTACCTATAAGGGAATTCCGAGACCGCAACATCTTCAAAAATCACCTGACGAAGCTAAATGTTTGGACCCATTTTTCGAGAAAAACGTACCCTCCCGACTGTGCCTGGACTTCAAGCCCTCCAGCACAGCACGATTCCCCGGGCGAACCCAAGGCCGCGAGGGCTCCGCCATGGAGAGTGGCGATGTGCCGAGTTTGGGGCAAGTTAGCACCTGAAAATCCATATCAAAAACTGCAAAACATAACATATCTTGTGCAAACCTGGTGTCGTTTTCGGGCTTCAGAATAGACTGCCTAACCGTGCAATGTGTTCTTACAGCAGGGGGCTTGCCATTGAGACATGCTGTGAGCGTTCCTTTCGCAGGCTTCAGCCACTGGCGCTGCTTTTGGAACATGGAAGATCGCAACCGTGGCGGATTGCCCATAGGGGGGGTATGCTGCAGCCGGTGTGGATTTCTTTACTTGGTAGCTAGTCAAAACCAGAACTGGTGCAAAACACCAGGCTTGATGAAATGTTGGATGTGCGCCAGGGGCCAATCCAAAAAATATAACCTCAAACGTTTCCCTGCGCCGTGCTACGATCTCTCTTTTTTGTTTCATGCGGTCATTGTCATCCTACACAGCTCCTGTCAATCCCAAATGGCCGGAAGAGCACACAAGCAAGGCTAGCAGGCGAAGAGCCGTGGCATTCAAGCTCCAGGTTAATACCAGGTCATCGTAACATTGGATCTGATCCGTCTTGTGCGTTTTTGATCCTTTTTGCTGGGTAATTAGATTCAACTTTCAACATTTAACGGTGGGTCACTAGGGACTCCTCGTTTTGTTTCCGTTTGTTTCCGATGGGGTGGACCAGGGGTGCAAATTTCCATGAAGTGAAGATTGATTTGGCTGGGAGGTGGGAGTGTGACAGGCTTGAAAGGCCTTACAAGTTACGAAGACAAGGTGTCGCGGATCCCCTTTAAATCTACAAGCCTAAGCTGGTGCAAAACATGCTAATAGAAGTGAGAGGAATGATCAACATTATCAGCACCGTCACCTAGCCCCTGCGATGAAAGGAACCATTGATGCACCGGTGACCCAGGCATATTTTTCAACCTGCTTTTGAAACAGGGACAAGTTGACACAAAACCTGAGCTGTTCACGCAACGGTCGTCCAGTGATGAATCACCCTGGCGCCTCTGGCCGCCACATCAGTGGCCACCAGCACTGCAGGTCCGGCGGTTGGTAGAACTGCACCTCGGCTTGTTGGAAGTCTGGCCGTTGAGCCAGACATGCCTCGGTTCCGCCTTTTCTGCCAAGCACTGGTCGGATGTCCGTTGCGGACTTCATTGCCATGCCATTTGGACCCCTCAGTCCCTCACTCAGTCACTCGGCCTCTATGAGGAAAAAAAGCTAGTAGGAACAAGTGCATCGCTAGTAGTAACGGGTGCCTTACTAGTAGTAACAAGAAGCTACTAGGAACAAGTGCCACGCTACTAGGAACAAGTGCCTCACTAGTAGTAACAAAACATGTTCGTTCCCTCAGGTCCGGCGCATCGCCATTTTCGTTCTTCGGGCGCTCTCGGTCCGGATCGCGCGCGCTCCCTTTGGGCGCCAGGTTTCCGGGGCAGGGGGATGCGGCGCAGCCAACGGCACGGGTGGGTTCGGATGAACTTGGCCTGCTGAAGAGTGTTGGCCTTCACGTTTGAACCCCCCCAAAGCCATTGAAAAGGGAAGGAAAACAACCAAAAAGGATCCAGGTGGGGAAGAGCAATTTTACTATCATTCATCCGTGCCTAGGTCACTGGCTGCTAGTGACTTCTTCTCAGCCACTCCAGGCCCTGTCAGTCTTGTCAGGCGTCAGGCGCCCTCGGCGACCGTTGAAGTCGAGCGCAAACGAAGGGGGGCACGACGTTGGATGGTGTTCGGTCCTCCATACAGTTGGACGGGGAATCTTCTTCCGGATTGTCCAGGTAAACATGTTGTGAGGAACGTTTGGTCCTTTGTTGGGAGTGAACCCCCTGAGACGGTCAGAAGGAGGCGTTTTCGGAAGATGTTCATTTTCAGCTCGAGGAATCGCTCATTCCAGGCACAGGAACCAAGTGCCAACACAAGTTCCACAGAGTATGAAGCATTATGAAGCAACATTGAAAGGTGTGGAAGTCAGCTTTGATTGGTTGGCCCCACTGAGTAAACTTGAGATCAAGCACTTTCTCCACATAGCTTCATTCATTCCCCATCATCAACTATGCTGCTGGTCAAATCCAAGAATTCTGAGTGCCTTCCAGCTCCTCACGTACAGCTCCAGCACACATAGTCTCATAGTGGATTCAGTTGGATAAATGTTTTCACGAATGCTCCCCCAAGTGCCCCACGTAGTCACCACTTTCAGTCGCAAGTGTTCCTCGCCGTGACCTGGTTCCATCGATTCCTCGAACCGGAGGCGTGGCCCAAACAACTGGAGGCCGAGAGACAAACACATACAAAAGAATCATTCAGGTCCAGTTTTCATACTTCTCTCTTTTTTTCCCTTTCAATCGGCACGAGGATCTAGGCCACCACGGAGCCCGCAGAGGCTCACGTCTGTTCTCCCGGTGTCCGGGTGTCCCTCCAACGGCTTGCCACCAGGTCGCAGCTCCTTGGCCCGCCAGTTGCTGACATTTCCTCAGGAAGAACGTAATGAGTGCTTTCTCTCTCTTGGGACCAAGGGAGCGGCTGTGGCTTCCTGAACTCTGACCTCTTAAGCTTCTGGGAATTGCACTGAGACATCGGGGTCAATCTGTAAATTTGCCGTCATGCTTCCATCAATTGCGGGCAATTCCTGCCGTGGTTCGGATTTCACTCCGGCTCGGGCAAACAGACTCATGCCTACGGAGTCTACGGTCCCTCCCCTCCAGCGCATCACGACGCACAGTGTGTGCCCAAGCAGCTTTTGGAATGCATCCCTCTGTGCTTGGCAAGCTTCCAGCTCTTCCTGCGTGAAAGGGTCGCAAACATCAGCTCTTATAGAAACAAAGGTCATCTAGGCCACCAACAAAAAACAACGGTGCATCCCGTGTAGGGTGTGCTTCTCAGCAAGATGCCCCCATGATGGCCGCCTTACGGAACCTCATGGTGTGGGCGTGCGTTGGGTTTAACGATATATTTAAGCTTACTAAAGCCGTTTTCAAGCGGTGCTTCCCTTCGATGACACCGCAGGAACGATAGGAGCTCGATCGACGCCTGCAGCTTGCCGATGGCTTGCAAGGCCAGCTCGAATCGTTGTGCCATCTGCGTTTGCGCATCGCCTCCCGCCACGGAGAGTTCCGTTGACTCGGTGGGGGCCGAAGCGGAATGATTTGAGGACATGAAGTCGAGGTAAGCTGCATGGTGTTGAGAGTAAGGGTGAAGCCAAGAGGAAACCACCACTGGAGGAGTTTTGAGAAATCCTCTGCAACACGGTTGGTGATTTCACTTGTGGATCACTTGTACAAGACCCCCGACGATGTGAGCAGCCCGTTGGAAGCACGCCGCACCCTCAGCCGCCGTTCGACCTGTCAACCCGCAGAGCTAAAAACGTTTGGTGCCTGCACGTTGCGCTTCGACGCGTTTTTGCAGCTTGAGCACTTCCTGGCACGGCCAGCGCTGCATCATGGAGGTTTGACCCACAAACATCTAAGTCGTGAGGCAGGTGAAGGGCGTTTTTTCCCTGCGAAATTGAATCATGGATCGATGCAGGAAATTGAGACCGGAGTTGTGAGGCACCACACTTCAGAATCAAAACCCGCTGGCTGACACGACACCTGTTTTGGCCCTCAACCACATAAAATCCATTCCCTTTTCTTGAAAAATAGACCCTTGAACATCATGCAAGAGATCCAAAGAGTCCCCGTCGCCTGGACAGAACAATGATCGAAAAGAGATTCTCCCCACAAAACTGTTGTGCTTGCAGCTAGGGCGGCACTTACTTTATATCCACACACAGCCAGTCGTCCTGCTGCAAGTTGTCCCGCTGCTGGGTCACTGCACTGACCTGGCGGCTCAACATCTGCACAGCTGAGCTCTTCACACGCCATGCAGGCAGTTGACCCGTCACCCACCGTGGGGCTGGTGGCGCAACGCTTTCGCCCAAGCGGACGAGGCTGTGCCAGCAACCACCTGATCCGAAGAGGTGCCAGTTCCGCTCTCCCGCCTGCATCCGGAGCTGCAGCTCCGACTCTTTGACACCACCTCACGGCGTTCCCACCGCGCGAAAAAGCCCAACGTGACTGAGACGGAGCCGGGGTGGGCGAGCGGACAAAAGCCTCCAACGGTTGGACATGAGCATCTTGGACACATGAAGAAGGATGAACAAATCAACTATAGTGAAGTAAACACGCACCTTTAGGCCCAAAGAACGTGTCATTTATCAGCAATGATCTCCCTGAGCAGATGGCGCCGGGGGGGGTTTGAAATAGATTTTTTCGTGCGAACTTCGGGTCGGTCTTCCTCTTGAGGCTACACCTCCCGGAATCCGTGTAAGACCGACTTAGGAGCTCGTCAGAGAAAAACAGGGCAATTGCGCCACTTGCGCCTGGTGTCCGAACAAACATCGCAGTGACATTGGTCGAGGGGCCTCTTAACTCCATAATTCTAACCCTTGACCAATGATAACTTCCTGCACCAAAGGATGTCGCACTACTGCCTGGTGCTGGATTTGAACGCACTCCATTCCAGGGGTGGAGTGAATTGAGATGGCTACTCCGCCCTCAAATCACCGTGTGACCAGAACATTGATGTGAAAAAAAGCCAGTTCCCAACATTTCCTCAATCATCACGGCGCCTGTGGTGGAGCTTTGTAGCTTTTCCACCTGGAGCGACCCAGAGAGGTGTGGGTTAACGTCGGCTCAGCACCTATAGTTAAAACGAACTGAATAGATCATAGTAGACCGGGGCGACGTGAATTGCGTAGCCTCATCTAAATTCAGTGTTTTGCCTATTTATAGCTTCTGATGGTTCCACTTCTTTCGACATGGTTTATGAGGTGCGCTGATCCCCCTTACGAAAAACCCAACCACGTGCCACATGCAGCAAATCCTGCACACCTCCCAGTCACCCTTCATCAGAAGCGCTCGCTGCCCTCTGTCAATACCGCTCCCACACCCCCGGACTTCTCCGTGCCGCGCGGCGCTGCGCGCCTGCTGTTGCAAGTCCTGCTGCCGTTGCTCCAGCGATCTCCGTCGGGCGCTCTCCAGTTTCAGCTCGCCTCGCGGCGCTCGAAAAGGTGGAGACCGGCATAAGACCCGAATCCTTGAGGTGAACGAGTTCTGAATGCCCCTGTTTCACAAAGCTATCAACAAGTTCTTGAGTTCCTTCCACCAACTCGTCCTATCGTCCTATCCTCCGGTCCCCCAACTTGCCGTTCTGCTTTCTACCCCGCCTTCCGCGGCCTCGCGGCTGCGGTCGGCGGCCTCTCTGGCACTGTCCACCTGGAGCGAAAAGCGGCACACACATCGGTCGTTGGAGTGCTCCGTTTCAAGGACACATCGGGCCTTTCACCACTCTCGGGAGCCCTAAAGCGAGCGATGTGTATTTTTTGTGTATCATTTTTTTGTTTTCCTGTGTTGACGGTCAGTTTGAGATCCATCTCATTTCGCAGCACAAGTCCACACTGACCCCAGTGCTGCTGAGAGGCTTCAGCCATCTCCTTTCCTCAGATCTTCCAAGGGGCCATCGTGTTGGGAGAACTTCTAAGTTATTTAGGTTTTCTACCGGCCTTCTGAGGATGCAGTCCTTGTCAAGTAGATAGTATATAACTACGGAACAGTCCAAACTCAAGAGAGAAAGCATTTGTCTTGAACTCTCTGACACGCCACCCTCCATGAGTGCACACAAACTAGAAAAGGCTGGTGATCGGTTTCCCTGCCATGTTGCTACAGCTTCAGGGGTTGATTTGTTATTTGGAGGGCCGCCCGCAAATGACCTAGGACATCCCACAAGACCTATAGATTCGCATCTCAAGGGTTGTGAAGAATGACCTCGGAGGTGTTCAAAGCATGATCGGGGCAGCGCTGTTGCGCTGTCTGTTCTCCCCACTGCAAATTAGGGAGATCTGCTTGGATATTTACTACCCTTGCAGGGCTCTGGTCAATCAATCCCAGTTCAACGACAGCCGCTGATTAACTGGACAGATTGATGGATTATCTGGGTTGCCCAAAAAAGCGCTGCACAAAAATCAGGTTCGTTTCTTGGGACTGCAAGCTAGCCTCCAGGCGCCCTCCCCCACCAATTCCTTGTGAACTTGATCCTGGGATCTTGATGGGGGCCTCCATTTGCTGTGTTCCAGCTCTTCCCCCGCCACCTAATTACCCATCCATCTGGACCACCGCCATGATCGGACATAAGATGTCCGTGAAATCACGTCCATTCTGAAGGATGTCATCGCCATTAGGTTGGAGGCCATTGCTAGTAGGTAGGAACCATCGCAAGTAGGTTGGAGGCCATCGCTATTGCATAGGTTTCTTTTGCTTCTGTTTTCCCTGTTGCCACATCACGCACGTCGTCAGAACCACGTGGCTGAGCTCTTGTAGCTCGCACTGCGCCGCCTTGGCGCGCTCCACCTCGTCCCGGAGCTCCCGGGCACGGCGCTCCTGGAGGTTTCCCGCGTCATGAGACGTGGATCAAGCCACTCAGAGCGATCAGTTCATGATCAGTTCAACAGCGGAAACAAGAATTAAGGCAACAGGCCAATGATATGAGCTGCCTTTCACCTGCTGTCTTCTCTACTTTCTTCGAAGTTGTTCCATCGAGAAACTCCACATGCTGGAGCCCCTTCTCCGTGGCAAAGGGGTCGGTCCTTGCATACACTTTCTCCTGTTTCACTTGACTATGACATAAGATTATATGGGGTCTGCGTCCTGATGTGGGCAAAGGCTACTGGGCAACATCTGCATAATTCCAGAATCCCATCTCCAACGAACCTGCCCATAGCTTGGAGCAATTGTGTGTATATAAATATTTATACGGAGAGAGAGAGGGAGAGAGTTAACATGTTATTTTCCCTCTCCTTGTTCCAGACTTGCAGGTGATCAGTACTAAGCGCGCGCACATGCGGAAAAGCTCCTTTTCAAAAAAGACTTGTCAAGCTAGACTTGAATCAGCTCATGTAACATACCAAACCATGCCACCAAGCCACCAATTCTTGCACTGTGGGCGACCTAAACCACCTTGGCTCTGATGGTTCTCCTGCATGGCTTCACGCCGCTGAAGCTCTTCCTTGGCCGCCTCCAGCTCAGCACGCTCCTCGCCGTGCGCGCCATTGCGCTCACGAAGAGCGCGCAAAGGGCAGGCTAGAGTGGACATAAACTGTGGATATGAGGGCACTCAAGGTGCTACTCAAGTTCTGCCTGTGATGGGGGCATGTTTGTGCTAACCAGAATTATCGACAGGCAGCCGGTGTTGGGGGTGCTTCAGTGCCTCGCGAACAACAAAAGTTGAGATGACTTGCCTTAAAACTGCATTGCTAGTGAATCACCTGCACCCGCCCTTCCTCAAGCGCATGGGTTTTGACTTGCACCAACTTGCATCTCCAGGCAAGGAATTCGTTGTCAAGTTCGTACCTGAACCTGCCTAGAAACAATAGCCAAATGTGAAATGTAAGCAGTTCAGCATAGCTCAACTGTGTACTGCTCGAACCACTGACTTCTCGTTCAATCCCCAATTTCTTTTCCACCAAAGCCGGTCCAGGCATCTCAGGTGCCTCTCCTTGTCACGCTCCCGGTAGGCGACGGCCTCCCGCTCTAAGAACTTCTGCCTCGTCGCTTCGGTGTCACCGAACGGTGGGCCGCCAGCGGTCACGTTGAACATCAAGTTGCGATTCGGTGGGTGACCAAAGTAGATACTACCAACTCACAGAAACTCACAGGCACCTAGAGTCCCCCCCTCTAGTGAAGAAGCACGGCGTACCCAAACATCCAAACGCGTAAATAAGGCCTTTTGGAGTTCGCCAACATGTCTCCTCTAGGGGGTCGCCCATTGGCACCTCATTAGCACGCAGGTCAAGCCGACAATGGCACCAAACCATCCATCCCCATCCCTTGCCATCAATCAATGGCCCCTGAGGCGGCTGAGGCGGCTTGCGAAGTCCGTGGTCTCAGTGAAAACGCGGAACCCACGGGTGCGGAGTGTCTCCCAAATCCTTTCCCCATTTTCCCACTACCAACCCGGTTGAATCTCAGCTTGTTAAGCGCATCTGACATGCCAGCTCCCCTGAGGCTCCTTCCGAGCGGCTCTTGGTGTGCGAGCTGTGCTTCAAGCTCGCCCAGGCGTTGTTGGTAGGGCATGCTCTCGTTCACGAACCTCAGGGCACGCAGCTGCGTAGCAGAGTCGTGTCAGAGACTCAGAGATGGTGATGGTCCCCGAACACCACATGCAAGGGGGTGCTTAGTGAGTGACCACCCTTTCGGATGAGTTCACCTATGTTTGACGATATTTTGGGCCAGTCCGCCAGGTTTTTGTTGGTCCTTTAGACTCATGACTCATGAGGATCTTTGGCAGGGAATTGCAGGGAACAGGTTGTGCGGGATCTTCGCTCATCCAACCCGCCCGAGGCTTTGGACTATCCATGTGCTCAACGATGACTTTATCTCTTGACTTGGCCCCTGGGACTATACTGGCGATAGGAAACGTAGAGCACGGCACTCAGTGCCGGCATTGGTCACATGCCTTTCACAGGTCACCTGACCTGATTGGTTGAGTCCACTAGGGTTCACTCAACCACACACATCCAAAAAGAAGAAGTCGTAATCTTACCTGTCATGACTAGCACATCCAACCGGGTCTGATGAGGTCTTCCCGGAGTCTTCCCATTCAATTAGGATCAATTAGGACTCCACCCAAGCCACTCGCACTCCGCAGCTTCCAGCTGTCGCCGGTGCTGCTCTTGCAGCTGCTCTGCCTCCTGGGTGTGCTCCACGGAAGGTGGTGCCATCACAAAGCTGTCCAAAGCCAAATCCCAAGGGTGTTCAAAGAACTTTCGGTGCTTGTTCTCGAACACCCAGTAGGGGACCCACTATCAAGCACTATTCAAAGGTGTCTCAAGTGCCGCTCTCCGGAGTTTCGTACTAAACTGGATCCCCAAAACGGTGGAATTTCTAGAGCAGATTCACATGGCAGAGCAAAACCACTGGTGTAGGGGAGAATTGACCTCCATGTCTTCACCATTTTTTGTTTGGCCCCTAATAGTCTCAAGAATTGGGGAGCCTTTCTTCCTGGTCAGGACGGTCAGGGCAAGGTTTCTTCCTTTCTTCCCTTCCCCTCTTTTCCATCGGTTTCTTCGTGCCGCAGCACGGCCAGGCCGCGCCGCGCCTGGGCCTGCTGCTGCAAGCGGCGTTCCAGGTGATCGACGGCACCCAAGGCCTTGCAGTCGATCGTCACTTCGGAGTCTCCAGATGCAATGACAGGCACCATTGCAGTCACTTGAAGAGTCCCACTTCTTGCGAAGAGAAACGGGAGCATGATACTGGAGTTTCAACATGTTTCAGCACTGCGGTTGAACTTCATAGATGCAAGCTTTTGGGAACCAAGGTGTTGCGCTCCACCTTCCAAAGTTGGCGCCGTCTCACTCAGCCAATGGCATTCTGCTCATCACCACCGCTGGGTCCGCTCCACCGACTCGGCCGCTCTGCCGGCCCGGCCTGCTGCAGCTCCACCGTCAGCGAGCTGCTGGTGGCCCGGAGCTCATCGCGCTCGTGGCAGAGGTGCCTCATCGCACGAGTCAAAGGTGCCTGGGCGGTGCCTCGGGTCTTTGTCCTTTTGGGACCATCCCACTTTTTGTTTTTGAGCAAATCTGCTCAGGTGACTTTTCTGGCGACCTCGACCTCAAGACCTTGAAGAGGTACGAAGCCATGGATTCTTTCAGAGGGTCCTTGGATGTCAACTCGTGTCAAAAGGACTCCTTTCGACCAAGGGCCAGTTGATCTGTTCCTTCCTTCTAACCCTGTGCTTTCTCTGTGCCTCACATCCACATGGCCATCCAGACCAGGAGCCCCGTTCGTAGCGTACGCGCGCCCAAAGACGCCCAAAGACGCCCGCAGATCGAAGGAAAAAGGGGCACCCAAGGCACTGGATGCGCTCCTCCATCCGTCGCTCCTTCTCAGTCGACTCCCGTGTCTTCATCTGCAGTGCCTGGTGGTCCGCCTGGTGGGTTCGGACGGTCGAGGACGGACATGGCAACGTGGGGACCTCTGTGGTGGGCAATCTCACCCTTGGGCCCAACTTGTGGACATCGGTGGTTGTTCATGACTTGAACGGCCCCAGTTCAGCTACCTTTACAAGGACAAACCACGTCCCCATTGCAAGGAATGCAGGAAAACACCTTCAGTTGTGAGATGCCAAATGAATTTCGCGAGGGCCCTGGTCAGACACATCCCCGGAGGATAGATTCTTTTCCGCCCATGAAAGTCCGTCAATTCCCGCTGTTGAAGGGATGTGCACCTCATGTGATCTGTGTGTGACCTCCGCCAGCAAGCTGTTGGTCGTGCCCAGACCCTACAGTAGGCCCTACAGCCCCCAACCCGCCATGTGTATCGGCGCGCCCTTTACTCGCCGTGCTCGGCGCCTGCATCTGTCGCTTCTCGCCCTGGAGTTGTTGCCTGAGATGCCCAGTGACCCATGAAGTCTTTGCACAAAGGGTGCAGTGGCTGCCACGCGGCTGCGGCTACAGGTCAAAGAATCTCCCCCTTACTAAATGCATGGTCCGTCCCCATGTTAGCGGCTGCGGAATTTTGAGAAAACGAAGGTTGACAAAAGGTGGAACACCAGCACTGCAGCACTGAGGAAGATCAAAAACCCCCGTGGCGGGCGTTGCCCAATACTCATGTAGGTTGGAGGCCATCGCTACTAGTACTCATGTATACTCCCAAATCAGGTCGGGCATCCCGAGCCAAGCCGCAAACATGTATCTGTATCTCCGTATTAACTCGATTATATTGATCAGGCCCAACAGTCCATTCTGCAGTCCCAGAGGTCTTCTGTCCGAACTGGTTGTTTCGCCCCGAAACAATGTTTACCTCTGCTCACCTACCACTTTCCTAACAGCCGCCACATGTCTACACCCATGTCAACATGTCCACTCTCCTGACTTGCATCCCTTGCCGCTTCCCAACATCAAACGCAGCAACGTTAAGATGCCGGTGCCGAAGGGCTTGGCACGTTCGAGCTCCGCCAGGGTCTTTCGTGCCTCGCCCTTCAACTCACCACACTGCGCTTCCGCCTCAACGAGCTTCCGGTGCTGACGCCCGGTCTTGTTACTACTAGTACGGCACTTGTTACTAGAAGCGATGCACTTGTTACTAGTAGCTTCTTGTTACTAGTAGTAAGGCACCTGTTACTACTAGCGTGGCACTTGTTACTGGAAGCGTTTTTATGATATGTTTGTTCTGCTCTTCCATATGTCAGGCAGGTGGTTGAGTTCTCTCGAGCAAAATGGTTTGGTCAATCATGAGGTAAACGACTGCAAGTTCTTCTACATGGGCTGCGCCCTTTTCACGGGGCACTATGTCTGTCTCAACTGCTATTATTATTGTGCTGGTGGGTTCTCAATATTCCACCATCCTGCGAAAGACGTTCAAACCGATAGCTAGGATAATTTTCTGTTGGCCCACAAAAACCCTCTGCTGTTGTCTTGGCTGTTCAAACGGCTCCGATTTTCTATCCACTCAGTATCCACTCAGTCTATTTGGTTCAGGATGCTCAATGACTTTGACTGGGCGTGTTGCACACTCCTTTGACATGCCGCGTGATGCTTCGCACCCCCGGCCACTGGCCCCTGGCGACCCAGCCTTCTCCGCACGCGACGTCATGCGGGCCAGCTGTCCTCGGCCACGAAACCATTGAACGTCCGTGAAACGAGAGAATTCCTTCTCCAAAAGAAAGACCTTGAACATTTGCATAGAAGGGCATTGAGTCACACCAAACCTCGACTCTAGCGTGTTTGCTCAAAAGGACATGGATGGGTTTATGGACATTTACTGGAGGCTCCTAACAACAGCAGGAACACTCTTGATCAAAACGAACGGTCTAATGGAAAGCATCAAGCAGCAAATGACTTAGATGATCCTGTTGCGCGGCTCGATGGGGTACTGAACAAAGAAGCGCTGATCTTGAAATGGTCTTGTTGGTGCATGGTAGGTGGCTGCCTTCAAAGAAGCCTCGTTTTTTGTTGGGAATATCCTGTCGACATTCCCTCATGGGCGGACCCACCAGCATCCGAACACCCACTCCCAACGCCAGACATCAGTAGACACAGTACGTACCGCACACCACTTGGAGTTCGTTCCCATCCGCCCACACGATCGTCACGTGGACGTCCCACTCGCAGTTGGCCGGTTCCTAGACGTCCCAAAAAGTACATGCAGACGCTTGATCTATGTCGACCCCGCAGAGTTGAATGGACAAAATTCCCTTGCATATGGGGTAATCAATTAGTTTGTTGCCATCCACCGCCTTCCAGACCTAGACGAACCCTGAGCCCTGAGCGCGCTTCGCACCGAGGCGCCGCTCAGCGTCTCGTTCCTCCGCTCCGCCTCGGCCGTCTGCTGCTCCGCGCGCCGCAGCTCGGAGCTCATGGCCTCGCTCGACGGCGACGGGGAGAGCGTCCTTGCTCCGTTCGTAAGGCCAGGAGCCCCCCTAGTAGCGTCCATGCTCTTGCCCTCCAATAGAGGTTCCTTGAGATCCAGCCACCCTCACAAGTCTGTTGAGCACCAGTTGTTGGGGACGAAACAGGGTGAAATCACCACAAACTCTGAGAGTGTGTTCAGAGCCCATGCATGGAAAAGGGCATGGAAAAGAAGGGCTAATTCAACAGTTCTTGCGACCAGTCCTTCATCCAGTCCTTTGTCTGGTAACGACCAGTCCTTCATCCGCTCTTCCACGGACTGAACGCGGCGCGACATCTTGGTGCCCTCCATGATGAGATTGTCCTTCTCAGCCTGGCGACGTGCGACCCTGCGCAGCGCGCGGTGCTGGTGCGACGCTGCTAGCCGTAAGCAAAATTCCGGACACCAATCCCAAATGAGTGTTGAAAATAAGGGAACACACCCACCACCTGTTCTCTTTTTTAAAATGGGAAAGGCCAAAGATCGAGTCATGGACAACCTCCGATTTTTGGTGAATCATGAAGCCCAGGGGAAGTCGAGGGAAGTGCAGACTTGGACGGGCCGAAAAGTGGTCTTTCTAGATTAACTGACCATTTCATGACGCACCCACGGATGGTGGAAATATGTGGAAACCATCTCAAGACCAGTCTCACTTCGCTGATTCCCAGAATTGGTTTCAGGGAAAACCTAGAGGACACCCATAGTTTTGGTGGTGAACGCACGGGTTTCCCGTAGATTTTCCCTTGATTCAGTTCATTGATTGACTGATGCCAAGGGATTCACATGTTGGCCCCAAGGATGGGCCAGTAAAGTCTGGCAATCCATTGTTGCACCCTCAAATGCCTGACATTGTCCCCACGGAAATGACACACAATCTTCAAGTATGGTACATGATTTCCAGGAAGTGTGTCATTTGCTCAGTCAAGAACTGTTGATGGACCATTTCCTGCCGCAAACCATGGGATAGCATGGGATACCCCAACATGGATGTATTTTTCTCAACTGTGGGGCTTGTCCATCAAGCCCATCTTCTGCACGTGCTTCTCGGGGTTGGCTGGTTGGCACCTTGAGGTTCCGATTCTCCTTCGTAAGCTTCTCCTTCTCCAGCTGCAGTGCCTCAAACTCCTTCAAATGGCAGCTGCAGTGGGGTGTGAGGCGCAAGAAGTGCAAGGGCAAGTGGTGTCAGTAATGAACCCCTTTGATACCATTTGTAAACGTACGGCATCTGAGTGGGCTTCCAGTAAGCTTCTGGGACCTATACGGGACCACAAAGAGCATAGCTACCAGATGTGGTAGCAGCTACTGGTCCAAGTTCTACTAACACATCGCGGACAAAACCAACCAACCAGGGTTCTTCCAACAACCCTGCAGGGCTCCCAGGGCTCGTTACACGGCATGTTCACGTCATCACCTAAACTAAAGCCGAGCTGAATGCTATGATTCCTGGCCGCCCTTCCCACAGCTCCTGCATGTTTTCGCTGGAGATGACCACCTGCACATTGATCGCCGCTGTTCAAGCGGACACAAACTGGCCATGAGTGCACAGGTGAGATGGGGCAAAGTAAAATGGACCTCCAAATCTTGTGCATTGCTGAGTGGCATCATCTTGCAAAGAAAGGACAAATGCTTAACCAACCCTTGAGGCCAGGCCAAGCGCCCGGCCAGGCCGGAGCAAATTGAACATCAGAAAGAACAACACCATCGCAAAACCTCTGGTCTCTTCCCACATCTCCCTTAAAACCGTTGGGTTCGTGTGAAACGGCATTTCACTCGTCCGCGCGAAAAGGGGAGTGACTCGCACGGCCGCCTTTGCAGCGGTGGTGCTCTTTTCGTTGCTTGCCCCCTCGACGGCGCTCTCGGGATCCTGGGGCAGGTGCCTTACTAGTAGTAACAAGTGCCACGCTACTAGGAACAAGAAGCTACTAGTAGCTCCTGGCATTACTAGTAGTAACAAGAAGCTACTAGGATCGCGGGTCTCTCGGCGAACCTTTGTTACAAGCGGCGTCCGGCCAGGAGCCTAGTAAGGCCAGGAGCGCCCCGTTCGGTTCGCGTCCTTGCTACGTTCGTAGCGATGCCCTTTGTGACTGGAAAAAAAGGGGGCTTCTTGTTGAAAAACAGGAGAGCTCAGGGGTTATAAAAAACAGGAGAGCCCACGATTAACATCTGAGCGACTCGGACGATGTCAAGGATGTGGAGCATCCCAGAAAGTGAGTTTTCATCGATGTATGTTGGATACACTGGATTGGAACTTTTTTGCGGAACTTGATTGAGCCGCTCACTGGTTGATCCACCAGCGGGGATGCTGGCATAAAATACCTCAGGTCGATGTATACCATATATGTCTTGGGGCTTTGGCCCGTGGTTCTCGGCCTTTTCACTGCGTCCAAGTATCGCCCGACGAGGTGGGAAGAGCGGTCGACACCTTGACGAGAGATGGGGCTCTAACTATTAAAATAAATTAATAGCTTCTTGTTACTACTAGTAAGGCACTTGTTACTACTAGCGAGGCACTTGTTACTAGTAGCGAACCTTGTTTGGTTGAGAAGACTTCGTGCCGGAGATTTCTCCTCTGTGGGATGACCATCCATGTCTAGTGAGGGTTTGGTGGTGGCTCAATTGATGGTTCTGACTTTCCCACTGACAAGAACTGTGCAAGAAGTTATAAGGATACCCTTGAGAAAAAGCCTCATTGCTTGGGTCATGGTTTGGGTTTGTGCACTCTTGTGCATGATTTGGGAGTTGCACCATGACCGGGTCTTGCCCACCCACCCTGGCAATAGGAGCGTGGATTCCAAACCCGAATTGAAGGATCGTGTGCGGCCCCGGTTCACCTAGAGCAGCTTCATGGCTACACATGTGACCACTTCCAGGCTTTGGTTCGCCCTAATGGATGTCACTTATTTCGCAATGACCCACCATACACCCAAAAGGCCTAGCTGACAAGAGAGGAAAAAGGAGCAAGGTGGCCCAAGCCAAAACTACCAGTAGCCTCGAATGTCTTGGCAAGCTCCACGGATGCCACCACCCATGAACATCACGTTTCCCCTGCCAAAACCAACTCGCACGATCCATGTCTCGCACTTCCACCGAAGAAAACCACCGATTGAGCGGCCTCTCCGCCCCGCTCCTACCTCCAAGCGAGAAACCACCTCTTTGGCAGACTTCATCTCTGCTTTCTGCGCACCCTTCTCAGCAGCTTGCCCCAGGCCCTGCACCATCTGCATGGCTGAGATGTCCTGCCAAACGGCCCGCCAAGGCTCAATCCCTCACCACTCCAGCAGGCAAGGTGTATCGCAGACTCCTTTCAACATTTGGGAAGCTTCAAGAACATCACCTGGAAAGAACAACTCAAATGCAAAGGTCTAAAAGGCCCACCGTCATCCCAGAAAAAGGAAGACCAACCACCACCTTCTGAACACAATGACCTCTGAAAGAGCGGCTCGGGCTCGAGACGGCTCGAGACGGCTCCTCTTCAGAGCGGATGGCCTCCTCGAAGGATTTCTCCATGTGTTCCCGGATGCCTGGAGGAAGAGGCGATGGGCGTTGGAGGCCATTGCTGCTAGGGTGGAGGCCATCGCTCTTAGGTTGGAGATTTTGGAGACCATTTCTATTGGGTTTCCTTATGCTAGTAGCTTGGAGGCCATCCCTAAGGAAGGACGAACCGAAGACCCTTCGCTCGTCCACACCATCGAGTTACCGGAAACCACCAGGACGTGGGGAGAGAAAGGGAGAGAAAGGAACGATGGCGTGTATCAAGCCTGTTGAGGCTGTAGAGTTCAGCCGCATATTCCAGCTGATCTGATCGGTGCCAGCACCATTGAAGACCATCAGTCAATCCGAGTCAATCCTTTTTTAAAAAAGTGTCCCGACATGTTACACAAAGATGTTCAACAGTTTCAGCCACAAGTGTTGCTGCAAAACATAGGAACAAGCCTAGGGTCACTTGTTAGAACGATTGAGTCACATGGGTCACTCATGCGACCCGTGCCGATGCTCCCATGCGACCCCTGAGCGGCTTCCCAGGGCTGCCCACCTTCGGCAGCTCCATGGAGCGTTTTCCTGGGAAAACGAAAGGGGGGGAAAGACCAAACAAGGAAGTTGGCCAAAACATGCCGCGAAGCACGTGCGCTTGTAGGTTTCCATGTCGTTTCCTCTGAGATGTGCCAGTTCTTTAGGTGAACTCGACGTGTCAAGGGCGTGGCTTGCGAACCGCAGAAGTGAGCAGAAACCCAAACGAAATCATCCACAGGCACCGACTCGCCTGCCAAAACGACTAAGATATTCATCGAACTTGGAGGAGGACCGGGCGCCCCACAGCAGTCTGAGACATCCAAGGTACAATGTCTGTAGACCGCTTGTGAGGAAGGAGGCGCCCCACAAGGACTTGGATTCCTGCCAGCTGCCCGCGAGTGATGCGTTTTGCGAATGCGATTTTGGCGCTGTAGAAAATGAAGACCCTTTTCATCTTCTTTGGTTGCAGGGCCATTCTCACTCTTTGTCCCACCCAATACGTACTCATGATGAAGACCCCATCTTTCCACAGCTGGGGTGAACACCGCAGGAATCCAAAGGAAATGGCCTATGCTTGGTCAAACGAAGTTTATCCCGACACTATTAGGGTGGAGGCCATCGCTAGTAGGTTGGAGGCCATCGCTCTTAGGTTGGAGGCCATCGCTACTAGGGTGGAGGCCATTGCTAATAGGTTCCTTTTGCTAGGGTGGAGGTCAGACGAAGTGGATAACTTGAAGTTCATCCGTTTTGGGTCACACTTCTCGTGCGGGTCTTTAAGGTCTCGGCCCCAACTGGCCGACCTCTTCCCGCACGAAATAGAGTCATTCTGCGCACTCCATTTCGAGATTGTCCCAGTAGGCTCACCATGTTCAGGGCTCAGGCAGATTCATCCAAAAGATACTTGGGGCGGAATCTATGATATCAGTGGCGCTTCTGGCTTCTCATTTCCACAACACCGCTTGACTTGGTGCCTCTGCAGGGGCGCGATGAGCGACCTGGGTTGCTCCGTTGGAAAGGCCCACGCTGCTGTGATCGCTGGAGCGCAGAAGATGGGGGTATAGGTCAAACCATGTCAACCCTTCAGATAAGGGGCCAGTATGGTCTTGCGGTGCAACACAGACCGGACCGGCGGACAGGAGGGTCGCTCTCTCTCTCTCTCTCCCTCCCCCACCCCTGCAGCTAAGGGAAGGAGCTAGGGTGTGGACCAGAAAAACACAACAATCATCCCAAAGATGCATGTTCCAACATGAGGAATAGGCCTTGCCAATTGACCGTTTTTACGGCTTTAGGTCAGCTGTGTCAATGGGTCGGGAGCAAGACAACCAAGAATCATTGCATTTTCTGCTGTACACTCTTTCTCACGTTCATGGAAAAGAAGCGCTTCAAGATGCTTCAGTAGTGGAGGTAAGTATGATTGGCTCATGTTGGCTCCAAGGCCACCACAGCACGACAGTTCTTGAGAATAACTCATAGCAAACATCACTTTGTAAAGAACCAGGGTTTCGAGAGCTCTGCAGCTCTTCATGGGCCCAAACATGTTTGAGTCGCTTCCATCCAAGATCTAGTAGCCATGGCCTCCTAAGAGCGATGGCTTCCACCCGGTGCCTTTTTGGATTTCCAGAGTTCTCTCAGAGGTAAAGCACTACCGCCTCCTCCCTGTTTTTCGACCGCCCAAGCCACAGTGCTGTCGTTCTCCACCAACTCCGGCAAGGGCCTTATGAAATGCTTGCGGTGAGCCTCTATCAACACAGGGAAAGTCGGCTCCAACAACTTTTTGTCTTTCCACTCGTGCGAATCCGTCGAGAAAAACCAATTGGCCGTCTGAAGCTTTCAAGGTCCATGCGTGTCTTTCAGGGGTGTGGCCAGCGTTGCTAAGACAACTCGGGTTCACGACGCATGGATCCAGTATGATCCAGTGTGTAACTAATCCATATTCTGTTCATCATCTGGTGGTGTAGCACAGCTTTATCTTCAAGATCCGCCACGTTTGGGTTTCAGCTGTCCTCGTACCCGTACCCCGGCCTGATGGCCACCCGTATGGCCACCTACTGCCCACCACTGCACCGAGAGGCTTCACGTCATACTTCTGACAAATGGACTGGGCAACGGCGACCGCATGGACGCGAACGTGAACAAATCCTGTCCAATGCCTGAGGTTCGTCTAAACCCAGCAATGGAACCCTCACAGTTTTCACTGGCGGTCGGGTCAGGATCTGATCGCGACCGTCCATCTGTGCGATCGGTTCTGCGAATTTCGGCGTTGGAGCGCCCTTTCCCTACAAGCACCATACATTGTCGTACTTAATTGCGAAACCCTTCAAAGAGGCATTTCGTCGTTGGAACCATCCCAACACTTCTCATCGCGACCCAAATAGAACTCAAGCAGGTTGAACCACTTGAAGCCCAGACTTCCCAAACACAATTAGTCTCAGCACCCGTTTCCAAAACACTTTATCAAGTGTGACCAGAAAGAAAACTAACAATTGCCATCGTTGGTATTGTGGTCACACATAGACCAGCGGCATTGGCCTCTATTTCAGTTTTCTCTCTGTCAATGCAGCGGTCACTCCTGCTTTGACGGTCTTCATAGGTATGCACTACGAACGATTGTGCGAATGAATCTACTTGGAACAAGTCCACCTCGTAGCCTTCCTACTCACATGACCCCAAACATCACCCCGAGCTGTCTGGAACGGATGGGTTCTGGTCAGCAAACGGAGGGCCATAAAGGGGCACTGTCCACCCCCACCGGCCTGGTACAGCACAGGTAGCTGCTCCGCATACTTTTCAAAGAGCTTGTCCTCAGCCGGGGAGCAAACAGCCTCTAAACGGTGCTGTTTGAAGTTCACTGTCGCACACACGTCAAGGATCGACTCGTGACAGCTTACAAACTGATGCATCTGCCAGGTGTTCGGTGTTACGGTCCCAATGGTTGGGGCTCAGTCAAGGATTGTTAGTCCCATCGGCCACTTGATTTTGGATGTGGCACGTGCGCAGCAAGCGCCCGGGGTTCGGGACTTCTTGGACCCACTGGAGTTTTTGCACTTCGATAGTGGGCGTGAGTTTGGCGCAGTTAGGTGCACCACCCGCCCCCTGCCATGGGTAGAGTGCGCGAGCGTACGGTAACCCACTTAAACATTGTTACGTAAAGTTTTTGCACAGAACATACATCACAAAAGTTTGTGCCAAAGACTTCCCCGAAGGAAGTCTGTTCACAACAGTTCCTCACAGGATGTGTGAATAAGCTTCCAAATAACGTCTGCCGCCTAGGCGTCTTGCCTGGAGAAGCTTGCACGATTGGGAGTGTGTGAAGGTGCAGCCACTAGCGTGAAGGCTTCTCAGTCTTCCAACGTGCGTGTGCACTTGCGCGAGGCGATTTCCGCGTGCACAAGCGAGTGCCATGCCGCAGCGGTTCGGTAGAGAACGACTGTTGCACGTCCCAAATCAAAATGAACTCCACTTCCTGAACTCGTAAAAAAGTGGATGGCATGGCCCCCAAACAGGATGACCCTTTTTCCTCTACAAAACCGGTGGGCAAAAAACACCCAGTGGTGGATTCCAGGGTGTACTCGGTGGGTCGCCCGGCTGGGCGGCGGATCCGTTCCATCCCGCTCCGAGGCGCCACTTCTGCAAGCTTCGTGGGATTGTGTTCACGGTAGATGGCCTGAACTGGCATCGGTGGGGAGAGTTGGCAGCTAAGTGGAGCAGGGGAGCGCCGGTTGGGGAGCATGTGACCTCGAACGACACAGGGAGATGAGCATCTCAGGATCGGCTTCGTTTCGTGCCGTTTGGCGGTTCCTGCTTGGATTGCAGTAGTGACATGTGAAAGTTTGTTATTATTCAGGGACGTTCCGTGGTAATTCCCTGTAATGAAACAATGTAGACGGGCACTGGTCTGCCATTCATCTAATGACACATAACCTCCATTCTCCTTGGCACAGAAAGGCACAGTGCTTTTCTGCAAGCCTGCCTTTGAGGGAACACTTGCAGGTGTGACTCGGTTGTTGGGTATCCATGACAATTCTTCCCAAGACGGCGTCACATGGGTCCGATCGGCGAGAATTCGAAGAGTGTTAACGTGGGTCGGGCACAAAGGAGGTTGATGCTGACACCGAGCCGGAAGACCGAGGGCATATTCATAGACCAACCTGCAAACTTTATAAGAAGCCGTCCAGAAGAACAAATCTTGTTGTATGTGTGTCAGGGTGTGTCATCAGGTCACCTGAAAAATTGTCAAGCATTTGTTGATTGAGGGGTCATACTGACCTAGTCAGCACTACTACAGTGCAGGGGAACGGCGCTGCTTCGGCAGTTGGCATCCGACACACCTTGCTATGCAATTCTTACCAACTGTTTATTTTGGGGGGGAGGATCTCATAAGATCTCCACCAAATGCTTGTGGAGCGCCCGGCACAAAATCTACAAGCTACCTCGTTCATTGCTTTTCTGGGCATTCGCAAGAACCGCCATGCCAGGCTACGGTAATTTGCTCGATGTACATGGCCTTCAGATCCTGCCACTGGATTTGACCGCTTATGACCTCGACTCCCTTTCGAAGATTGATTGGAAGCAACTTACGATTCATACAATGTACTGCCTGCTGATCAAGTTCATCAGAGCTTTAAAAACAGGATTGAAGCACTTTCTCCCATGCCTGCAAGGAAACAGATCCTTAAACTTTGTCTTGTGCGAGCCAATAAGACCATGCACTTCGGACAGTCACCTGTGGCCTCATCTTTCGTGTGCCAACAAAAGCCGCCTGTCACATCCCTTACGGGTGCATCTCCTTGCCCTCGTCCACGTAGCGTGCAGAAATAGCTTTGTACAGACTCTCCAAACCTTAGGAACAAGAAGCTACTAGGGGCTCCTGGCCGTACTACTAGGAGCAAGAA